TTTGATATAATATAACCTGGTGGCTATGGTGGCACAGCGTTTCTATGGATATCATATTTTGCATGTAAACAATAAAACAAAAAAATTTGACGGTTCTCAAAAAATCGTGAAAATGTCCAGCACCGATACAGATATTTCACCTTCTTGCACTCCTCCAGAGCTAAAAAGTGTAGTTCAATCAGCTATTTCTGAGTTGATACCTGAAAAATCTAAGCGGCAATATGAAAATTGTTACTTCGAGTTCAAAAATTGGTGTGACAAACAAAACGTCAAAATGGTGTCTGAAAATATATTGTTGGCTTATTTAATGCAGAAATCGAAAGTTTTGAAGAGTTCAAGTTTATGGAGCATTTATTCCATGTTAAAGTGTATGCTCAACGTACGAGAAGGGATAGATGTGAGGAAGTTTTCAAAAGTGGTACCTTTCCTGAAAAAAAAGTCTGTAGGATAACCTACTTGCTTGATAACAAGCAAAGAAATCGAAAGTGTTAACGAGTGATCAAATTGATTTGTTCATGAAAGAAGCTTGTGATGAAAACTATTTATTGTTGAAGGTAAATTGTTAAAAAAGTAAGCTTTCGATTAGTTGGTTTATTTATCACAATTATTGTTTCAGGTAGTTATGATTATGGGAATATCAGGAGCATTGCGGCGAGATGAAGTAGTTAAAATGACGATAGATGACATTCAGGAGAAAGATGCCGTATTAATAGTAACAGTTCCTGATACTAAGACTAACCAGAAGCGCGTTTTCACAATCACTAATTTGAATTTTATAAAAATTTACCTCAAATACGCAGCCCTTCGACCAAAAAATATTAATAGTCGTCGTGTATTTTTGAGATATGAAAATGGAAAGTGCACTGCACAAGTTGTCGGGGTGCATACGATCGGAAAAATACCCTCCATGATTGCTAAGTATCTGGGATTGCCAAATAGTCAAGCATACACGGGTCACTGTTTCAGAAGAAGCTCTGCTACACTTCTTGCAAATACCGGTGCCGATATGTCAGTTCTGAAACGCCACGGTGGGTGGAAATCCACCACAGTAGCGGAAGGATACATAGAGGACTCCATCGAAAATAAGAAAAAAATTTCTAATTCAATTTCTGGCAGTATAGCTTCTAGCTCCAATGTTAGTAATAATTATTCAAAAACACTGGATTTAGTTGCTTCAACTTCAGGAGTAAATATTAGTAATAATTCTGTCATATAACTGTTAATATTTATCCTAAATAATGTATGTCGTTGTGAAGAATTTGGAAATAAAATTTATTTGTTGACAAGCTGTTGTCAAAGTGTCAAATTTTGATTTTTAGTTTCGCGGCCGTCACCAAGGGCAACGGCCGCGAAATTGAACTTCGCGGACTGTGTGGCGTCCGCGAAAGCTCATCTCGCGGATGGTTGCACAAAAAGTATGTTTTTTTTATTGAAGATAATTTTCCGAGTCAATAATTCAGTAACTATGTTGGCAACACGAGCCTTTTCTACATAAAAAAATTTGAGAGCATTGACAATTTCACATTGTATTGCCAACATAATGTCATTTTGACTTATATCTTTAATTTTGAGACAGACCTTATGAAAAGGGAAACAACATTTTTAAAAATTATTTATCAATAAAATAGGATTAAAAATAATAAAGTAATGAAATTCAAATATGGTGAAACTCCCCATTTTCATTATCTTTCAAATATTCGTCAAAAAATGTCGGAAGTTTGATAGTAGGGACATAAAGCTACTTGAAATAATTCGCCGGTATCGGTATCGGTATCCGTAACGCAACTAGATACGTTGACAAGCGAAAAGGCTGTTAAAGCGCTCCCTGTTCCGGTAAACGTAAACGCATCTCATAACCTGGAAATTTTTGTCCCAAAACTCCGGCGTTTTTATATCTAACCTTAAAATTGTTATTTTTTTTTGCGATAGAGAAGCACTAAACACACAAGAAACTCAAGAAAGATAAACTAAACAAATTAAATCAACCCGGAAGAAAAGTGAGGTTATTATCATTTAAAATTTGACACATGCGTCAGGAATGTCAAGATTCGTTACCGATACGGATACCGCGAGAGGGCCGTAACGTTACGTTGTACGTACGGTATCTCGGCCTCCGTATCGCTTCTGCACATGCACAGTACGATACCGATACGGATACCGAGCAAAAAATACGGAAGCTTCATGTCCCTAATATTTTTTTCTCGTGTTTCAATATTTGTAGTCAAACCTGATGCACCCTGTATTTGAAAAATATACACCTTGGCCTATTAGACCGTATACTAAATTCGAAAAATATATCTTTCTCGGTTTCCTCTAAAAACAACTAGAAGTGGACATCCACGCTGAGATTACATATCAAGGATTTTATGAAAAAGTATATCTATATATATTTTTTTCAAAAATGTTTTTGTTTTGATTTTATTTTTCAATAAATAATAAATTGACACTTTGCCTCATAAGAGTACAGTTGTTTCTATTTATTTTACATGTAGGTTAACTAAAATCCCCTTATTCTTGAGATCAATAATCAATAGAGTTCGTATTTTAATATAAAAAAAATTCTTTTAGGTTTATAATAAAAAATGAAGGCACAGACGAAATAGACATGTCCGAAAATCCAGTAATTGATCCAAATAAAGGAAGAAGAATATTCATATTATGAATCCAATTCACTAAGTGATATCGAGAAATATCACTATAAGATTTCCTCCAGCAAGTCAAAAACCAAAAATGATTCTCAACATTTAAATGTGCGTCAACAGAAAAATAAGGACTTTGAATGCTATAAATGCAATGCAAAATTTAAAAATGAAAGAGGATTAAAAAGACATTCCATCATACATCTAGATGATTATCCCTATACATGTGACACCTGTAAAGCAAAATTTAAATTTATTGGCAATTTGAGCAGACATTTAAAGACGCACTTGGATGGACATCCTTTTAAATGTGATACTTGTAATGCGAAATTTGAACGGATCGCCGATTTGAAGGAACATCTAAAAACTCACTCAGATGTTTATCCTTTCGGATGTGACACTTGTAATGCGAGATTTAAATGGATCGCCAATTTGAACAGACATTTGAAGACGCACTCGGATGTTCATCCTTTCGAATGTAATATTTGTAATGCGAAGTTTAAACGGATCGACCGTTTGAAGGAACATCTAAAAATTCACTCGGATATTTATCCTCTCAAATATGACACGTGTAATACGAAATTCAAACAGATCGCATATTTGAGAAAACATCTTTAAATTCACTCGGATGTTCATCCTTTCGAATGTGATACTTGTACTGCGAAATTTAAATGGATCGGCAATTTGAAGCAACATCTAAAAACTCACACGAATAATCCTTTCCAATGTTACACTCAGTGTTGCCAGGTCCCACAAAAATAATGCATAATAAATCTTTCTAGAAAGCATGAGATTTAAAAAAAAAAGCATGAGATGGCGCGGTAGTCGCAGTAGCGTTTAGCAAGGTGCTTATTCAATTATTATTGCAGGTTTTTTTTTTCACTTTAAATTTATGTCGTAAATTTCAGTACCTATTGAAACGTGATTTGACTTGAATAAGCAATCTAGAAACAAAGTAGTAAAATACTTAGCACTTTAGGCTGGAATAAAAACACTAGTAGGTATTTTTAACAAATTTTTATTCCACAAACAGAAACATATTAAGATATTTTAAAAACTAAACAATCCAAGAAAATAACATCATATAAATAAAAAAAATTACTCAAAGTCTGATTCATAGATATGTTGGTTTAGGTTTCTGATCATTTCTTTTGATATGGGGAAATTTGAACATATAGATTTATTTCTATTTACGAGACCTTTTGTATGGAGTATTGCTGTAGGTAACTGTAGAAGTTTTTAACCTATTTCTTTGTTCTGTTTTATTCAAATTTATTGCAGAAAATATTCTTTTTCTACAAACGTCACTAAAAGTGTCATTTTTAACGGATGCTGTCAGTGTCTAAAATGCCATTTTATGACACTGGTGCTAAAAGTGATTACTTTTAGCACTAGTGCTAAAAGTAATCACTTTTAGTGCGTTTGTAGAAAAAATAGTGTATGATATTCGTGCTAAAAGTGATTTTATTTTGTTCAAAGGGATGGAACACTCCGCCTTCGGCGTCGTGTCCCAAACTTCCCTTTTCACAAAATAAAATGTCACTTTTAGCACTTATATCATAAATAACTATTCTACATTTGCACTTGAAACAGGCCAAGTAAGGAAATTGAAGACAAAGTTTGTTAGGTTTGCAAAACGTGGCCCACTATTATCTGGAGCTTTTATTGACGCAATGTATTTCCAAAATTCACATATTATGTCATCAGTATTATTGGCATTAAAATCTATTCCAAAGTTTCTTAGTGCCAACCACTCATTGTCAAATGTTTGTAAATCGGCATCAATTAAATTTGGAAATAATTTAGTAATATGACTAATAGATCTAATTTTTCGAGATTTAACGGTTTCTGGGTCCATAAATTCCAACTTTTCAAAAACAGAATCTTTAAGAGGAAATGTGTGCAAATTTGCTGAACACTTTCAATATAAAAATTCAAACAATTCAATTTAACTCTTTCTAACCTATTTTTTTCTAAACTGCTTGAATTTATTTCTGCTGAGAAATACATCTCATCCATTTGTAAAAAAATTCTTGGATTTTTAAAATCTAATTTATCGATACTTGTAGAACTAAGAATCTCGTCTTTTATATAAAAGTCAAAAATTGTTTTTACTGTGCTCGTCACTTTTTTGTAAAGTATATGAATTTTTGGGGATTCGCTTTGCATCAATTTATTTAAATCATTAAAGGTAGGTAAAGCGTGAGATGAAAATTCCAGATATAATTTATTTTCTTCCTTGTTCAGTTTTTCTAAAATTATATCAGCTTGAGCAATATTATTAGCAACTTGATCCGTAAAATAAAGTCTTAAGGCATAATATTGGTTTAAAAGTCTTTTTAGCACACTCTCCAGTGAAAGTCAACGGGTTTGACTTGGATGAAGAATTTTAGCTGGAGCAACATTGACAAACTCCTGAAACTCTTTCAATTCTTCAACTCTTTTTGGACTATTCGAAAAATAATTGTAAACCTAAAAATATATTTATTTGTTCAAGAAAGTTAATATGCTTTCCATTTTTTAATATTTACCTCTCTTGTTAGTTGTTCAACCTCTTCTGGCAGTTTTTGGCACGCATAGCAGGCACAGAGGTGGAAGCTGTGGCAAATACATTTTACTGTGAATATGCCTGGTATACTTTCCTGTAACCTGCTGACTAATGAATTTCTCATTCCCACCATATTACTGGCGCCATCAGAAGCAAAACCAATAAAATTTGTTTTATACGGTATGTTGTGTTTTGTAAAAAAGTTTATAATTATCTCAAAAAGTGCAGCTCCTGTGGTTTCAACTACGGGTATCAGGTCCAGAAAATTATCTTCTATTTTATTTTCAATACACATTCTAACCACTAAACACAAATGTTTGATGCATGAAGTATCTGTGGATTCATCAGCTATTACACTAAATTTATTATTTTTCATAAGCTCAATCAAATATGCTTTTTGTGATGCTCCTGTCACTTTTTTGACGACTCTAGTTACTTTGGTTCTTCCTGCTTTAATTTTTTTTGCTATTTCAGAATCTGTACAAACAGCATTTAAGTAATCAATAAAATGTTCATTGGAAGATTATGTTCAGCCAAAAATCCTGCTGTACGTATAATACCTTCTTTTACCTTTTCTTCAACGCTTATTTTACTAGTACTCTCTGCAAACATAATTTGCCTTTACTTTCTGGACTGATTTTTGATGTTTAACCGATTCTAAATGCTTACAAAGTTGTACTTTTTCTGCCCCTATGTTAATATCGCATCTACATAGTTTACACCTAAAACAAAATTTCGTTTTTAAAGATAAATATTTTGTAAAAAATAACATCAAGTGACGATATAAAAATAACAATATTATATTTTCCAAAACTTCTTACCACAGAAACATTGTTCCCTTTTTACTGCACTAGGTCATGAGCGCGCTTCGCGCGCTTTTTTTTTAAATCAAGTCCATCAAAATAATTATAAAATGGAAAATATTTATTAGGTGTTGTACAAAAAACAGCATAATTTTTGATTTAAATGTACATTATACATTAAATGTAACAGTGAGATAAGTTGTATAGATGTTATTCTAGTGAAGAAATTTCAAATGCGATGGATGGAGTTGGTGACTAATTATTTTTGTATGGTATATCATAATGATTTTAAATCGATCACATTTCTTGAATGTACGGTGTGCGTATGTCTACTTATCTCATTCTGTTTTATGGAACTCGTAGGTGTAGGTATACATTATTCGAAGTGGTTTATTTAAAACAGAATAATCATAACCATAATCAAGGTGTTATTATAAACCGAGTTAGTAACTATTTATGTGCTGTGGTATAATACGAGATATCGAGTCTTAATTTTTTTTTTACATTTTCATGAAGTTCCTTTTTTTTTATTAGGCCAGTTATTGAAGTCTACTCGATCAACATTTTACTGCAAACAATCGAAAAAAAAAATTTTTTAAAAGATTTTAAATTCAATTGCTCAATTATTCAACTTCATTTTTTGTTTGTACCTACGTGGTAGACATAAATTTTAAATGTGATCAAAGTAGTTGGTGAATTATTACTTTTGCGGTACATCGTAATGACTTTAAATCGATCTTATTTTTTGAATATACGGTGTGCATATGTCCAGTGCAACTTATTCTATTTTATGGAACTCGTAAGAATCCAAAGTTTAAAGAGTGCTAAGTCTTCATGTCGTTCTTCGTTATTTTCAATCATTTATGTTTATCGTGTTCAGGTTTTTGTCTTGTGATCTTCAAATATCTTGTAAATAAGTTGTAAAGATCTTCTGAAATCACCTATGACTGCGAAATTTCAAAATTAAATTATCAAAAAAACAATTCTTTAAAAACATGGTTTTTGACAACACTATTGCCTCTTTGTTTCCCTGAATAAAGTTTGAATGAGTCCCACGAACGAACTCTGAAAAGCGCCACATAAAGTTGTCCGTGACTAATACATCCTTTCTGGAGATCAATTACTATCCTATCAAATGTTTGTCCTTGAGATTTGTTAATCGTAACTCATTGCAAAGGCTAATTTTATTTTAAAATTGTCTTTGTTTGAACGTAAAGGGGTAGACGTTTTCGCAGTAGAGTGTTATTCGATTTATGAACACTATTTCTCCCTGTTTATCTACAGTCAATATCTCACAGCGTAACAGATTATCCCCAAGTTCCAGAACTAAAGGCCTTGTACCATTGCAAAGGCCTGCACTGATGCTTAGATTTCTAATAAGCATACAATAGAATTCGTTTTCAATCGTAAATCATGGAGCGGGAATTCGGCGGATTAAGCGAATTTAAATATTTTGGAAGAATAGCATCATTTAGATCACTATTATCACAGTTCTTGACACTATCTATACTGGTGTAGAGTTTTTCGGTCTTGACGTCCAACAGTTCGACAACTTATTCGTTTATTTCTTCGACATCAACATTTCTTGCAGAAAGTATTGCAGATTTGGTCAAGTCCCTGAATCTTCCTTCTTTTAGTATTGTTCGTCGACTTTTCGTATGAGGAGCGAGGGGGTGAAGCGAAAACCAGGGGTGACCTTAGGTGACCATTGGCGTTCAAATGTAGGGTGCCACCAGCTCACATTCCTTTCGAGTATTAGATTAAAATCGACGGACTTTACTTCTCATAGATGTTTTCAACAATATCCGAATTATCAATACATTTCTCCGACAATTTTAGATTGTCGTTAGAATCATTTAGTGTTCGTTATCGCATAAAAATGGCTCAATTTCAGCAATAAGTGCTTAATATTGGCCTTTAAGGCGGCAACCGTTCGAGATTTGTCAACATAGACTTTGGATTTTAGAATGCCCAGAGAAAAAAATCCAGTGACGTTAGGTCGGCCAATTGTGGATTCTGAAGGACGATCGTTGACATCATAAATTGCACGGAGTGCACGAAACGTTTTCCGAATAGAACATTGGTTTTGATAATGATAATAATTTTTAACAATTCCGACGCGTTGCTCAATCGTGTAGCGCTCCATAATAAAATGCAGAGACTAATTGAATACGGCTGCCAAAGATAGCACCTGTGTGACTATCGAGTTTTTCATGGGCTATTGTCAAACATCGAGCGTTACTATTGGAAAACCCTATACATACCTAGATTCTTCTATTGGACCTCGAAAAAATATTAAACCACTTCCTTGCTTTGAAAAACAACCATCTACAGAGCAATATCTAATAGCACAGCTAATAGGCATATTGTCAGAGAATTGTCACATAAGTAACAAATTCACAGTCCTTCACAAAGATGCAACCGAGGAGAACATTGAAAATGCCGAAGCAAACTTCAACGCTAATGCTTGTGATTATTGTGAGCTTTGAGATCCGCTAAAATTCAACCCTTTCCAGATTTTCCAGAATTTTTCCGACCCAATCCAGAAATTTCCATGCGTTTTCCAGACGTTTCCAGAAATTTCCAGACTTTATCCAGATTTTTCCAGACTTAGCTAGACTTTATGCAGACTTGTCAAAATTTCTCCAGACCTTATCAAGCCTTTTCCAGAGGTTTCCAGACATTTCCAGACTTTCCCAGACTTTATCCAGACTTTTCTAGACTTGGCTGGATTTTTCCAGACTTTATCCGGACTTGTCTAGATTTCTCCAGACCTAATAGAGCCTTTTCCAGACGTTTCCAGAAATTTTCTGGCTTTTCCAGACTGTATCCAAACTTATCCAGACTTTTCCAGATTTAGCTAGACTTTATCCAGACTTGTCTAGATTTCTCCAGACCTTATCCAGCCCTTTTCTGACCTCTCCGGACTTCTCCCAAACACTTTCCCGACTTCAAATACACTTTTCCAGACTTTATCCAGACTTGTCTGAATTTCTCCAGACCTTATCAAGCCTTTTCCAGACGATACCAGAAATTTCCAGGCTTTTCCAGACTTTATCCAGACTTTTCTAGACTTGGCTAGATTTTTCCAGACTTTATCCAGACTTGTCTAGATTTCTCCAGACCTAATAGAGCCTTTTCCAGACGTTTCCAGAAATTTTCTGGCTCTTTTCCAGACTTTATCCAAACTTGTCTGAATGTCTCTAGACCTTATTAAGCCTTTTCCAGACGTTTCCAGAAATTTCCAGGCTTTTCCAGACTTTATCCAGATTTTTCTAGGCTTAGCTAGATTTTTCCAGACTTTATCCAGACTTGTCTAGATTTCTTCAGACCTAATAGAGCCTTTTCCAGACGTTTCTAGAAATTTTCTGGCTCTTTTCCAGACTTTATCCAAACTTATCCAGACTTTTCCAGACTTAGCTAGACTTTATGCAGACTTTATCCAGACTTATCTAGATTTCTCCAGACCTTATCCAGCCCTTTGACCTCTCCGGACTTCTCCCAAACACTTTCCCGACTTCAAATACACTTTTCCAGAACTTATCCAGACTTGTCTGAATTTCTCCAGACCTTATCCAGCCTTTTTCCGACGTTTCCAGAAATTTCCAGGCTTTTCCAGACTTTATCCAGACTTGGGTAGATTTTTCCAGACTTTATCCAGACTTGTCTAGATTTCTCCAGACCTAATAGAGCCTTTTCCAGACGTTTCCAGAAATTTTCTGGCTTTTCCAGACTTTATCCAAACTTATCCAAACTTTTCCAGACTTAGCTAAACTTTATCCAGCCTTATCCAGACTTTATGCAGACTTGTCTAGATTTCTCCCGACCTTATCCAGCCCTTTCCTGACCTCTCCGGACTTCTTCCAAACACTTACCCTACTTCAATTATGTATAAGTAATTGCCTATCTATGAGTCGGCACTTAATGTATGCAAAAGCGGTAACAACCTTGAACTAACATAAACATATCGATTTTATATTCCGATTGCCTTATTTGCATAATTAAAGCGGTGACAACCTTGAACTAACATCTCGATTTTATAGTCAGATTCTACCCAGTGAAACCCCGGTAACTTCGCCCAGTATTTTTTGAAATGTTGTTTATAAATCTTTCTCTTCTTCTTCTTAGTAGCAGAGCTAGGTCCGGGCAGATTTTGGTCAGTTTCACTGCCACTGCTTTCACTAGTTTCACTAAACACCATAGTGCTAATTTATTTGTTGACAGTATAATAGTATAAATTATTAATCAAAAGTAAGGTAATTACGTAAATATCATACGCAGCTAAAATGTACCCATAACCAACAATTCGATCCATTATGATTTTCGGGGAATAACCGAAATCCCAATAATCACATATTTCTGTTTAGTTCTGCTGGGGCGCGTTCAGAAATATTGCACTGGGTATGAGTGCGATTCAATGGGTGTGCCTGAAATGACAATTGTTGGAAGATTTTCTTATGAATTTAAGATCGCTTGGTGTGAGAAATTGTGTTTTATATATACATTTCTAATTAATATATATATATAATAATTTATTTTTGTCACCATAAGCTAAAAAGCATGAGATTTTGATAGAAAATAATGAGAGCATGAGATTTTTTTGAAAAGCATGAGACCTGGCATCATTGGTTACACTTGTGAAGCGACATTTGAATGTAAAAGCTTTTTGAAATGACATCTAATCAGGCACCCAAATAATAGTATATTATATAATAGGTGTGGTAACTAAGTTATTACCGCACGCGAGAGATATTTGCAAACCGAGCTGGTTATGCGAGGTTTGTAAAATCCAAGGGAGGGAAAAATCTA